TTTTGGTGATAGTGAGTGTCGATAAAAGAGTTTGACCGTCAGAATAGTGAAGCTATAACACAAGAGGCTAGTACAAGAGCTACCTTCCCGGTAGTGAGTGACAGGTGAGTACCAGCACCACTCATCCGTCACTCTGGACTACTCATCGTGAGTCCAGATATCGATGAATAGTGACCTGGGGACAGATTCACGAAGCAGTTAAACAAGTACTTACGAACGTGTACATCTTTCCTCAATCTTTGACGGCTTTGGTTACATTTATTAAATAGTTTATAAGCATGAAAACTTGCCAATCAACTGTTGTTATTGTTATAAACAGCCTCCTGGTGCTTCGGAGCTCATTAACTGTTTAATAATTGTAAACAAAGCCGCCAAAGATTGAGAAAAGATGGACAGGGTCGTTAGTGCTTGCGTAACTGCTTCGTGAATCTGGCCCCAGGTTGGTAAGTGCTTGCGTAACTGCTTCGTGAATCTGGCCCTAAGACAATACCTCCTCTAACAAGATGAGTGAAGCAGCTGATCACCTTCAAGTCCTCCCTTGGTTTGGGCAAGTAGTTCAAGCGTGTTATTGATTACTACATTGCATTTTGACCTACAAATCCCCCCGTACGGCCAAAAACTAATGTATTACAAATCACAGAGGCTCGGAAAATTGCAGTGATGTCCCGTTTTCTGTTGGTGGGTGCCTCGGTTAGGTTAGGTTTGGGCATTTTAGTTCGTCAGTTAGTGTATCTCTTGCTCCTTATATGGGTTGATAGTGTATCTCTTAGCTCCTTATATGGGTTGATAGTGCATCTCTTAGCTCCTTATATGGGTTGATAGTGTATCTCTTAGCTCCTTATATGGTCTGATAGTGTATCTCTCGGCTCCTTATATGGGCTGATAGTGCATCTCTCAGCTCCTTATATGGGCTGATAGTGCGGCTCCCAGCACCTTATATGGGCTGATAGTGCGTCTCTCAGCACCTTATATGGGCTGATAGTGCGGCTCTCAGCACCTTATATGGGCTGATAGTGCGGCTCCCAGCACCTTATATGGGCTGATAGTGCGGCTCCCAGCACCTTATATGGGCTGATAGTGCGGCTCCCAGCACCTTATATGGGCTGATAGTGCGTCTCTCAGCACCTTATATGGGCTGATAGTGCGGCTCCCAGCACCTTATATGGGCTGATAGTGCGTCTCTCAGCTCCTTATATGGACTGATAGTGCGGCTCCCAGCTCCCCCATACGCATAGTGCTTAAAAACAGTGGTTGGCCAACTATAGTATATCATATAGCCGCCTCAGCGCCATTCCCAGCAACACTTCAGACGCAAACACCATACACCTGTGCAGGCGAGGAGTCACAATAACGGGGCTGAAGAATGTTGACCAGACCACACACTAGAAGGTGAAGGGACGACGACGTTTCGGTCCGTCCTGGACCATTCTCAAGTCGATTGTCAATCAACTTGAGAATGGTCCAGGACGGACCGAAACGTCGTCGTCCCTTCACCTTCTAGTGTGTGGTCTGGTCAACATCGTACACCTGTCTTCACGGGTATTGAAAATATCGCAGCGTCCGGTGTAGAGTTGTCGTGTAGCGTTGCGTCGCGTCCTACGGTAAATCTCGCGCTGCTTGTAGCTCGCGGTTCTCGCGGGCTCATTGTTTAAGTAGAAATCACCGGTGTCGCTGGGAATTGGCGAGGATAGGCATCAGAGCCACAATTAAGCGGGTATAACTTACGATGGTATCTGTGGGCGGGGGTGAGTACCGCCCGTCCTTCAACGGGTAACTAGGTACAACGTCCAATTTGTTAGAGATTGATTTCGTAAGAACGGGTATCGCTTTCAAACATCGTCCTCGCAATGTTCATGATTCCGGCAGATTTATAGAGCCGAACCCCCTATTGGCAGCTCGTTTTTTTAAACCTTCCCCCCCCCCTACCCACCATACCCTCTGATGTATGGCATCCTCAGTATTTGTCGTTTCTTTGTTGTTTGTGTTTGTACGTCATGCGATGTTGTTTGGGGTAGTTAGCGGCACGGGGAGGCTCTGAGTGGCCGCCAGACCTGGGGTCAACATCGCCCACCTTCCTATCAGCTCATCTCTGATGGTATAATTTCAATCATATTTCAACACCCTGGCAACGGCCGGCGAGGCTGTAATAAGCAGGTGGGGGGTTGGGGGGGGCTTCTACCCCCCTCTTCCCCCTCCTCCTCCCCCCTCTTCCCCCTCCTCCTCCCCCCTCCTCCCCCCTCCTCCCTTCCTCATCTTCTTTCCTCTCTCTTCTCTTTGTTGTTCTAATCTGCGTCTTTGTTAGAGGATCTAGTGTTGAGGAATATCCTTGAGTTGAATCCTTCCCTCTCCTGCCGTCCCCAATCCCCCCTCTCCTTGTTGTTCCAATCTTGTCACACACACACACACACACACACACACACACACACACACACACACACACACACACACACACACACACACACACACACACACACACACACACACAGTTGTGTGACGGTTGAGAGGCTGGACCAAAGAGCCAGAGCTCTACTCCCGGAAACACAACTAGGTGAGTACACACACACACATACACATCAGGGGCGCTGGTGGCTGAGTGGACAGCACGCTGGATACGTAATCCTGTAGTCCGGGGTTCTATTCCCGGCGCCGGCGGAAACAGATAGGCAGAGTTTCTTTCACCCTGATGGCCCCTGTTACCTAGCAGTAAATAGGTACCTGGGAGTTAGACAGCTGTTACGGGCTGCTTCCTGTGTACTCACCTAATTGTGCTTGCGGGGGTTGAGCTTTGGCTCTTTGGTCCTTGGCTTTGGTGTGTGTGTGTGAAAAGTTAGTAGTTGGTAACAGTTGATTGATTGACAGTTGAGAGGCGGCCCGAAAGAGCAGAGCTCAACCCTCGCAACATGACAAGGTGAATACAACTAGGTGAATATAAGCAACGAAGGACAGCTTTTTGATACTAATATTCTTATATTTAAGAGGACTGATCTTCCTCTTATCCTTGTCAATAGTTTTATCTATTTCGTCTGGTCGTAACACTTGGTGTAAATTCCTTACATAAATTTCATATTTACACAAGTGTGGGTTTGCATTCATATTTGTCATATTATTAATTTTATCCAGATAATCCGTAGGAGCCGTTATAAGGATTCGAACCTATGCGGTGGATAATCCCTTCGGTCAAAACTGTGCCACGCACACTCCCCAGACAACCTGGACACGACATGGTCAAAAGAATTGCAACCTGGAATTCTACTGAACACACGAAAGGTTTTCGGAGGCTTCCACTGAAGGCAGACCAGGATTTTCACACAACCCCCCCCCCCATGCACTCTGGCTCTGCCATCTAGGAATGTTCTACCTCTGATGCTTTTCTTTCACTACACACAGAGAGTAATCACACTAACGTGACTGCATCAATGAGAAAATCCGTAGGGGCAGTGATGACGATTCGAACCTATGAGTTGGGTGTTCCCAAGTACACGTTGTCTGGGGGCGTGGAATTATATATTTTTTATAATTTATTCTTGTGTTTATTCATTTTCTTTTTCTTTTTTTTATTAAGATATTAGGTACATCTGCAGTAGTGCAGCTACCCTAGACTATATGAAGTGGAGTACAGTGTGTCAAAAAAGCTAACTAGGTGATGCTAAAAAATCCCCATCACACAGGAGGGTTAGTCATACAGAGGCATGTGATAAACGGTCTGCACTGGCAGTGTGTTTATTCAACCAATATAGTTTTGGTGTACAAATGCTGAAGTCTATGGACATGGGGCTGAACATTTCACATCCCCAGACTTCATGAAGAAGTGGTATTGGGGTCGTGACCCCCCTTCAGGAGGAGGGGCACTGGGACGACCCCCTTTGACACTTCCGATAAAATCACCAGTACAAGAGGCAAGTCAGAAGCTCCTGGCCTCCAACCTGGATAACACAGACATTGTATCTTATAGACATAGATACTTGCACAGCAATGTTGACAGATGTGAATATTTAACATTCGCTGCTTGAGACATAAACAGGAAAAAAGCATAAGTCTCTCCCACTGAGAGAATGAGAGAGGAGTGGAGTCATATGTCTCACTCCTATTCAGAGGATGAGAACTAAGTAGGTGAGGGAGACATCTCTCTCCTTCTCAAAGAGTTGAGAGCAAAATGAAGACAAATAAAGGGTAGGGGCCGAATCTAGAAAGCATTCCTTTCAAAAGTTGTGAGATGGAAGAGAGAGCGGGAGGGAGGGAGAAGGGTGAAGTATGTGACCCCTTCCATCTCGGAGAGTTTAGTGGGACAGGAGCCCCTTGGAAGTGCTCTGTAATTTCCTCCTAACTCTTGCTGGGCCCTCAAGATCCGGCTGACGGTGCCTCGCCTCCTCTAATTGTTTCCCGCCCCCTGACGAACTGTCCTCGTGCCCTCTTGGGGCCCCTGTGACCGGTCGTGGTGAGTGGTGTCGTTCCCATAGGTCGTGGAGGTCGTCTAGTACCCGGAGTTGTCTTTGGCGTAGTCTAGTGTCACCCTGTTGTCTCTGACGAGCTTAGTGCCACAGTCATAGCTCGGGCGACCCTAGTGCCACGCTGACGCTGTATTGCGTCGCTCTGTAATTGAAAGTTCCTGGACGTCATAGTGTGTTCCGAGGGATTTATTGTGTAATGATTTTCGCGTGGCATTGTTTATGGAGTGGTATGGACTTGATGACGTCTTCTGGTGCCGCCATGTTGGCCCGTGACGTCCTCTAGTGCCGCCATGTTGGCCCGTGACGTCCTCTGGTGCCGCCATGTTGGCCGTGTCGTCCTCTAGTGCCGCCATGTTGGCCCGTGACGTCCTCTAGTGCTGCCATGTTGGCCGTGACGTCCTCTGGTGCCACCATGTTGGGCGTGACGTCATCTGGTGCCGCCATGTTGGCCGTGACGTCCTCTGGTGCTGCCATGTTGGCCGTGACGTCCTTTGGTGCCGCCATGTTGGCCGTGACGTCCTCTAGTGCCGCCATGTTGGCCCGTGACGTCCTCTAGTGCCGCCATGTTGGCCCGTGACGTCCTCTAGTGCCGACATGTTGGCCCGTGACGTCCTCTGGTGCCGCCATGTTGGCCGTGACATCCTCTGGTACCACCATGTTGGCCGTGACGTCATCTGGTGCCACCATGTTGGCCGTGACGTCCTCTGGTGCCGCCATGTTGGCCGTAACGTTCTCTGGTGCCACCATGTTGGCCGTGACAGCACCTTAGGACGTCATGGAATGCCTCTCTAAGTGTTGGGTTATGATTCGTCGTTAACAATGGAATTGCCTGGTGCCACTCCAACGTAAGCCTATAAGGTGCCCCGGGGGTGCCTCTATGGCACTGTTGGCACTGCGGCGTTATGTGCCCGGCCACAATTTTCATTTGTCCAGTTTTACCGTTCCAAATTTCCGCGTTTTGCGCAATTTCCGTTAATGTTTTCCTCCCCTCACATGTAGAGCCATTTGTGGAGTGGTCCTTCTTCCTGATCCGTGTTTATGTGCATTGGTATGTTTTGTTTCGAAATGTGTGTGTGTGTGTGTGTGTGTGTAGGTGTGTGTGTGTGTGTGGGTGTGTGGGTGTGTGTATGTGTGGTGTGGGTGCGTGTGGGTGCGGGTGTGTGGGTGCGTGCGCCGAGTTATGCATAAAGCGTCTCCCTTTCCCATCCTTGAAGTGAACCCTGCTAATGTCTGCTCCTGCTCCCTTCCCATACATTGCCTCCCATCTCGTCCTGCCAGGATAATGTTGATGATGCTGATTACTAGAGGCGTGGCCCATCTCCCGCTGCCTCTACTGTTTATGGTGCTCTTCTTCCGCACAGTATACCGCTGTGGCTGGCCGCACTCCTCGCTACACCACCTCCACTTCTTATGCTTACACCAAGTCTTCCTTTTCCGCTGTATTAATATGCTTTCATCTGGTTTTTTGTTTTTTAATTGTGGATTACTCAGTCTTTACTTTCTCTCTGTCTGTCTCTCTCTCTCTGTCTGTCTCTCTCTCTCTCTCTCTCTCTCTCTCTCTCTCTCTCTCTCTCTCTCTCTCTCTCTCTCTCTCTCTCTCTCTCTCTCTCTCTCTCTCTCTCTCTCTCTCTCATATATCAGTATTTTAATATATTTTCATCCAGTGTTTGTACAGCATCCGTTCAAACAATCCTTTGCTCTTTTATTTCCCCCTTTCTTTTCTGATCTTTGCTACGTTCCTCTTAGTCGCCAGGTCTTCCTGCCCCCCTCCCTTGTTCTTCCCTTAACCCCCTCCCCCCCTCACCCCCTCCCCTCCACCTATATTCCCAGCCGCCATTACTCCTTATTGCTTACCTTGCCATTCACTTCCATTCACTTCACTTCTTCCCAGACTCCTACTAGTCGCCTTTCCTCTCTCTTCTTCGTCGTCGGTAATTTCCCCTAACTTTTCCTGAGGCCCCCGCGGAGGGCCAGAGCTGGCACTGGCTACGAGGCTCTGTAATTGGGCAGCGGTCGTGTAGCTTCGCAGTCTCGGGTTTTATCACATTTCCGATGGCTCTTGGTCCTGCCCCCGAAATTTCCATCGCCGCGTTTGAACGTGCGTGCAGCCGATGGCGCGGGGTTGGGGGGCGCTTGTTTTATTCTGTTTTACAAATGTTGGGAGTGTTTATCAACGTTTGCGCTGTTTGCATGCGTGACGGTGAGATATTAAAAGGTTTCCTTTAATGCAGCCATAACATTTTACGCGAAATAGCTGCAGAGTAAACATTGGGGTGGAGGGGACGGGGGTAATGAATTCGAAGCCGTAGCCAGTGGCGGGTGTTCGGGACGCGCGCCATTTCTTGCCCCGGGGCCTGGTGGCTGGGCGCGGGCCCCGGCCATCTCGCGGCGCCTCCGTCCTCCGCGCCGCCACGACAGGCAACAAATTTATTGCCTTTGTCGCCATAAAGCCAGTCGCCGGGCTCGCTTGCGTGTCGCCGTTGCCTTTGGCTATCGCTCCCTGTGCCACTTGCATCGCTCGGGGCGGCGGTGTAACTCTCAGTTCCAGCGTTCCAGGACAATGCGCTCCCTCCTGGAATATACACAGTCTCCAGCATCTCGTAACCTCCTGCACCTTCTTACATCTTTTCCAAGTTTGCAAATAAACAAACCAAACTTAGACCCTTCATTTCCAGTCCTGAAATTTCACAAATCCCGCCAGCGCCTGCTTACACCCTCTTAATTTGACAGCCCCCCGATGCCTGGAAGCGATGCCGACTGAGCAAATTTGGAAAGTCGAGGCGCCATTCTGGAAAACTGGAAGGCAGTGCTGCATCGCGTACCAGCAACTCCGGACTCGGCCGATAGATTCAGAGGCAGGTCGTAAAAGTGAGGCAATCCATTTGCATATATCGGAGAGCAGGAGGAGCCGGAGCTGTGAAGGCGACACCAACCGAAGAAGGTGGAAAGTGGAGCGGTGGAGGACGTTGCTGGGTGGAGGTAGAGATGCCCGGTGGAGAATGATGTTGGGTGGAGAATGTTGCTGGGTGGAGGACTGCTAGGTGGGTGACGCTCCTATGGTGGGTTTGCGTCTAGGTGTGGGTGTTACTTCAAGGAGGTGACAATGTCTTCAAGGCGGAGAAGTGTAGCATCACTGAATATGCAGCTTCAGTGTGGGGGAAAGTGTTGTATCAAGGTAGAAAAGATATTTCTTCCTCTACGGAGTATATGATGGCTATCTTGGGGTTACCTTGATTCCGAGCACCAACGTCCCCGCGGCCCGGTCTCTGACCAGGCCTCCTGGTTGGTATTGTGGTCAACCAAACTTTTGGACGTAGCTGCTCCAGCCTGACGTCTGACTCAGCCTGGTTAATCAGGTGTCGTCTGGTGGTGTTTATGGAGTTCTCTTGTGAAAACCGTGAGAGGCCGGCTAGTTGTGTCCCTTATGTGCGCCTGTCAGCTGGGTGGACAGCGCTTCGGATTCGTAGTCCTGAGGTTCCGGGTTCGATCCCCGGTGGAGGCGGAGACAAATGGGCAAAATGTTTCTTTCACCCTGATGCCCCTGTTACCTACAGTAAATAGGTACCTGGGAGTTAGACAGCTGCTACGGGCTGCTTCCTGGGGGTGGAGGCCTGGTCGAGGATCGGGCCGCGGGGACACTAAGCCCCGAAATCATCTCGATATAACCTCAAGATAGGTGTAGCAGGAGCGTGTTAAACAGTCTCGGGCCTTTGATGTTGACAGACCTCTCTCAGCACACCAATAACCCCATTTTCATCGAAGCTATTCTGCACATCCTGCCATGTCTCCTAGTCTCATATGATGTTTTTTCCGTGTGCAGATTTAGAGCCAGCACACTAATATTTAGATACAGATTTAGATATAAATACAGATTTATAACTTTTAAGTGGTCCCAATAATTTAGATTTCTTATTGTGTAGATTATAGCAGCAAAGGATTTTTACATACTTCCCAGGTCACCAATGTCTCCAGCTTTGAATGGGGCTGTTATTGTGCAACAATATTCCACTCTAGAGAACACTGGTGTCTTGAAAAAGTATCATCACTGGCATGGCATCACTTGTTTGAAAAGTCTTGTTTCCCATCTGTCATTTTTCCTTCAATTGTAACAGCTACTTTATTGTGTTCTTTAAAGGTTAGGTCTTTCTACATGACTACTCCCAGGGCCTTTACATTGCTGCGTTTTAAGTGGTTTCCGTCTATATTTTCGTTTTTTAATACGATAATCTATTAAAATAGGATAATTAGTCCCAGTATTTTATTTTCATTAGTTGGTCTGTAAACTGCTTAGGTTTTGCCTCTTGCTGCACTTGAACGACTCATAGTACAAAGCGATCCTGGTAATGTTTCTTATAGGGTGAAGTGGTTCCGTGGTGTATGGCGTGTGCTGGGAAGTACCCATAGTGCAGGTTCGAATCTCCCGCATGGCTCCAATTGATTTTTTCATTGATACATCAGGTTATTATGATTTCTTTGTGCATATACATTTAAGTGTTTCACTTTCACTGCTTCTTGTAATATGTCTTACGTGTGAGTGAAACTGGAGTCTTTTAAAATTAATATTAAACAAGGTAAAATAGGTAAGTCAATAAAACCCATTTAATCTCCATAGCGACATGGTTGGCTTCCTCCAGATGATATCATCAATACAAACCAAATACTGGACCTAACTCGTGGTGTTTACAAACGTTCCATCTAACGTTTATGGTATGGTTGAGAGGGAGACATTTGGGTGGTCATGGTGGACAGCTTGTAGGGAGCAGAGGTAACGATGGTAACGGGGTTCTTGGTAGGCCTATGTGCATTCTGCTACTGTGTAGATAGGCTTAGAGTAGCAGCTAGAATACAAACACACAAGCGAGACTGGTCCGTGAATCCTGAGGTAATATACTGGTAAAACACAGGTAATATACTGGTAAAACACTGGTAATATACTGGTAAAACACAGGTAATATACTGGTAAAACACTGGTAATATACTGGTAAAACACAGGTAATATACTGGTAAAACACAGGTAATATACTGGTAAAACACTGGTAATATACTGGTAAAACACAGGTAATATACTGGTAAAACACAGGTAATATACTGGTAAAACACAGGTAATATACTGGTAAAACACAGGTAATATACTGGTAAAACACTGGTAATATACTGGTAAAACACAGGTAATATACTGGTAAAACACTGGTAATATACTGGTAAAACACAGGTAATATACTGGTAAAACACAGGTAATATACTGGTAAAACACTGGTAATATACTGGTAAAACACAGGTAATATACTAGTAAAACACAGGTAATATACTGGTAAAACACAGGTAATATACTGGTAAAACACAGGTAATATACTAGTAAAACACAGGTAATATACTGGTAAAACACTGGTAATATACTGGTAAAACACAGGTAATATACTGGTAAAACACTGGTAATATACTGGTAAAACACAGGTAATATACTAGTAAAACACAGGTAATATACTGGTAAAACACAGGTAATATACTGGTAAAACACAGGTAATATACTGGTAAAACACAGGTAATATACTAGTAAAACACAGGTAATATACTGGTAAAACACTGGTAATATACTGGTAAAACACAGGTAATATACTAGTAAAACACTGGTAATATACTGGTAAAACACTGGTAATATACTGGTAAAACACAGGTAATATACTAGTAAAACACAGGTAATATACTGGTAAAACACAGGTAATATACTAGTAAAACACAGGTAATATACTGGTAAAACACTGGTAATATACTGGTAAAACACTGGTAATATACTGGTAAAACACTGGTAATATACTGGTAAAACACAGGTAATATACTGGTAAAACACAGGTAATATACTGGTAAAACACTGGTAATATACTGGTAAAACACAGGTAATATACTGGTAAAACACAGGTAATATACTGGTAAAACACAGGTAATATACTGGTAAAACACTGGTAATATACTGGTAAAACACAGGTAATATACTAGTAAAACACAGGTAATATACTGGTAAAACACAGGTAATATACTGGTAAAACACATGTAATATACTGGTAAAACACAGGTAATATACTGGTAAAACACAGGTAATATACTGGTAAAACACAGGTAATATACTGGTAAAACACTGGTAATATACTGGTAAAACACAGGTAATATACTGGTAAAACACAGGTAATATACTGGTAAAACACTGGTAATATACTGGTAAAACACAGGTAATATACTGGTAAAACACAGGTAATATACTGGTAAAACACAGGTAATATACTGGTAAAACACAGGTAATATACTGGTAAAACACAGGTAATATACTGGTAAAACACAGGTAATATACTGGTAAAACACAGGTAATATACTGGTAAAACACAGGTAATATACTGGTAAAACACTGGTAATATACTGGTAAAACACTGGTAATATACTGGTAAAACACTGGTAATATACTGGTAAAACACAGATAATATACTGGTAAAACACAGGTAATATACTGGTAAAACACAGGTAATATACTGGTAAAACACTGGTAATATACTGGTAAAACACAGGTAATATACTGGTAAAACACAGGTAATATACTGGTAAAACACATGTAATATACTGGTAAAACACAGGTAATATACTGGTAAAACACAGATAATATACTGGTAAAACACAGGTAATATACTGGTAAAACACTGGTAATATACTGGTAAAACACAGGTAATATACTGGTAAAACACATGTAATATACTGGTAAAACACAGGTAATATACTGGTAAAACACTGGTAATATACTGGTAAAACACTGGTAATATACTGGTAAAACACTGGTAATATACTGGTAAAACACAGGTAATATACTGGTAAAACACAGGTAATATACTGGTAAAACACAGGTAATATACTGGTAAAACACAGATAATATATTCTGTGACTTGGATTAACGTGGGATTACATATTCAAACAATTATAGTATGGGATCTGAAATGAAAAGTGTGCAAAATATACTTCATAAGATTAAAACAATTTTTTTTAGTACATATTGAGTTAAGATTTATTAAGTAATTGCATTAAGTAGAAGAAATGTAATTGTTATATGTTCAGGTTTATTACTGGAGTACAGGACCTTTATTAGTGTTATCTTTACACTCCTTTATTGTTTTATCTTGCTGCTGCTCCTGCTTTTTCTTATTTTTCTTCCGTCTTCTACTTCTTATTCTTTCGTCCTTTTTCTTATTTCTTCTTTTTCTGTCTTCTTTTCCTTTGTTTCTTTTTTTTTCTTCTTTATCTTCATCTTCTTCTTTTTCTATTATTATTATATATCACTTTGTTCTTATGACCGTAAATTTTCCCCAATTGAAACAAATGGAATAGTTTGTTATTCAAACTTCGCAAACTTGTAAAATTACTTTTATAGTAAAAACTCTGGGCCATAAACAGGCAAAACGGAGGAAGAAAAAGCAGGAGGAGGAGGAGGAGGGTGAGGCGGGCAAGAAGCCCGTGTGCACCTCTAGTCAATCGTAAAAGTGAGACACTCGTGAATATCTCACATAAAACCCACAAGTATTTCCGAACATGACGGAAAGGTTCGAACGTTCCCGAGTCCCTCAACTCCGAACACGATCGTCTCAACATTTCAGCCGATGAAATATTTGCTCAGGTTTTATGCTAAGGATCTAAAAGCATTTGTCTCCCACAGGTGTATGCAAATTTTGTATATTGCTATGCTCGCAAGGCCCACATTGGTGGCTGGAAGGATTACACACTCAGCCAAGAAAGTTATCTGAGCTGGCTTGAAAATCTTGGCTGAAAAGAAGCAGTAAATAGGTACCTGGGAGGTAGACAGCTGCCACGGGCTGCTTCTTCCTGGGGATGTGTAACAAAAATGAGGCCTGGTCGAGGACCGGGCCGCGGGGACGCTAAGCCCCGAAATCATCTCAAGATAACCTCAAGAAGATAGCGTCCATAACTGTGTTGACAAGTGTCATATTAATGTCGAAGAAGATTTTGAAGTACACAAGAAACTGATGATTTTTTTTACAGTAACTACTAGTGGGAGCAGTATCCAAGATAATGCCGAGTCAACGTCGTTTCAACGTTCATTTAACGTTAATAACGTCGATTCAACGTCAAACCAACGGCAGTTTGCTATTACTTCTAACGCATCGGGAATAGTGGGTTAGTTGTTGTTAGGGTAGTCGTTTGGTGGTGATTTGAAGTCCAACTCTGTATAACGGATGTTATTACTGCCAGGCAATGGGGGGGAGGGGGGGGGGGACTGGTAGAGAAATGTCACACTACCATCAGCACCACTACTACCACCATCACCACTGTTACTACCATTACCACCAACACCACTGCCTCCACCAATACCACTGCCTCCACCAGCACCACTACCACCACCAGCACCACTACCACCATCAACACCACTATTACCACCAAAACCACTGCCTCCACCAACACCACTACCATGTACAGTATCACCACCACCAACACTACAACCACTATTGCCACCATTATTGCCACCACCAACTGCCACTACCATCACCATCAGAACTACCACCACCACCACCCACCACCCACCATCAGGTGGCTGTGTGTTCCAATGTTGTCATCACTGGTGTCAGGTGCCTTACGAAGCTGAAACAAAAGCATTAACTTTCTTTTTGCTAACAAAATACCAATGCACGAGTTTATCGTTGAAAAAACGAGCATCAGAGATTAAATAAAAATTCGAGTCGTACAAGGTATATTGTGTTTATTTCTCATTAAGAACACTACACAAACACCATATCGCTGAGAGGGGGGGGGGGGGTTCGGGCAAGCGATTTCTGGATAGGCACTTGTGAGAAAGGGGTGCCCGAGCCCGGGGGCATAAGGGTCATCAGAAGAAAGGAGGAGGACGAATGCCAGTTGTAAACAGAAGAAGTGATAAGGCTTTGGAGAGTATTTACACTAGCGCCAGTGTCTCGCTCCGGCCTGACCAGAGGAGCATGGCGACGTCCAGCTGGGAGACGGCGCCTCTTTATAGCTTTTTAGCTCTTCCAGACGCGCTAAACGGTCCTTAACGACGCGACATGACCTCGTAATGGGTGGACGCGACCTGCCCGCGTCGCAGCGGGGCCATCAGGAACCCCTCGCCGCCCATCTTCAATGATTACTCTTGCAAATGACGCCTGGGGAAGGAAGGGTAAGCTCCTATCCCACACTGGGGATACACCGCCCCCTCCCACACTAGGGGTATAGCGCCCCCTCCCACACTAGGGGTACACCGCCCCCTCCCACACTAGGGGTACACCGCCCCCTCCCACACTAGGGGTATACCGCCCCCTCCCACACTGGGGTATAGCGCCCCCTCCCACACTAGGGGTATACCGCCCCCTCTCATACTGGGGTACACCGCCCCCTCCCACACTGGGGTACAGCGCCCCCTCCCACTGGCTGGGCAAGCCTCCCCATCTCCCTCTCCCACGGGCAAGGCAAGCCTCCCCATCTCCCTCTCCCACGGGCAAGGCAAGCCTCCCCATCTTCCCCTCCCACGGGCAAGGCAAGCCTCCCCATCTCCCCCTCCCACGGGCAAGGCAAGCCTCCCCATCTCCCCCTCCCACGGACAAGGCAAGCCTCCCCATCTCCCCCTCCCACGGGCAGGGCAAGCCTCCCCATCTCCCCCTCCCTCGGGCAAGGCAAGCCTCTCCATCTCCCTCTCCCACGGGCAAGGCAAGCTTCCCCATCTCCCCCTCCCACGGGCAAGGCAAGCCTCCCCATCTCCCCCTCCCACAGGCAAGGCAAGCCTCCCCATCTCCCTCTCCCACGGGCAAGGCAAGCCTCCCCATCTCCCCCTCCCACGGGCAAGGCAAACCTCCCCATCTCCCCCTCCCACGGGCAAGGCAAGCCTCCCCATCTCCCCCTCCCACGGGCAAGGCAAACCTCCCCATCGCCCCCTCCCACGGGCAAGGCAAGCCTCCCCATCTCCCCCTCCCACGGGTAAGGCAAGCCTCCCCCACCTCCCCCTCCCACGGGCAAGGCAAGCCTCCCCCACCTCCCCCTCCCACGGGCAGGGCAAGCCTCCCCATCTCCCTCTCCCACGGGCAAGGCAAGCCTCCCCATCTCCCTCTCCCACGGGCAAGGCAAGCCTCCCCATCTCCCCCTCCCACGGGCAAGGCAAGCCTCCCCATCTCCCCCTCCCACGGACAAGGCAAGCCTCCCCATCTCCCCCTCCCACGGGCAAGGCAAGCCTCCCCATCTCCCCCTCCCACGGACAAGGCAAGCCTCCCCATCTCCCCCTCCCACGGGCAGGGCAAGCCTCTCCATCTCCCCCTCCCACGGGCAAGGCAAGCCTCCCCATCTCCCTCTCCCACGGGCAAGGCAAGCCTCCCCATCTCCCTCTCCCACGGGCAAGGCAAGCCTCCCCATCTCCCCCTCCCACGGGCAAGGCAAGCCTCCCCATCTCCCCCTCCCACGGGCAAGGCAAGCCTCCCCATCTCCCCCTCCCACGGGTAAGGCAAGCCTCCCCATCTCCCCCTCCCACGGGTAAGGCAAGCCTCCCCCACCTCCCCCTCCTCGCCTCCCTTCGCCACTGTCACATATCTCAGTACACGGCGATTAATGTTAATAGAAATCTTGATATAGCGTTGGAATGGTATAGATTTCTGTTTTCCTGTTAAATGTGCAAACAATTCCCGGTGCTGTGTCCTTGCTTTGCTGCCCCCCCCCCCCTCCCTCCACACACACACACACACACACACACACACACACACACACACACACACACACACACACACACACACACACACACACACACACACAAGAATTAAAGAAGGATTAAAACAGAAGAGGACTGTTTGAGGCTTCAAGAAGACCTAGACAAGCTGAAGGAATGGTCGAACAAATGGTTGTTAGAGTTTAACCCAACCAAATGAAATGTAATGAAGATAGGTGTAGGGAGCAGGAGGCCAGATACAAGGTATCATCTGGGAGAGGAAATTCTTCAGGAGTCAGAGAAGGAAAAAGACTTAGGGGTTGATATCACGCCAGACCTGTCTCCTGCAGCACATATCAAGCGGATAACATCAGCGGCATATGCCAGGCTGGCCAACATACGAACGGCATTCAGAAACTTGTGTAAAGAATCATTCAGAACTTTGTATACCACATATGACAGGCCAATCCTGGAGTATGCAGCCCCAGCATGGAGTCCATATCTAGTCAAGGATAAGACTAAACTGGAAAAGGTTCAAAGGTTTGCCACCAGACTAGTACCCGAGCTGAGTGGTATGAGCTACGAGGAGAAACTACGGGAATTAAACCTCACTTCGCTGGAAGACAGAAGAGTTAGGGGGGACATGATCACCACATTCAAGATTCTGAAGGGAATTGATAGGGTAGATAAAGACAGTCTATTTAACACAAGGGGAACACGCACAAGGGGACACAGGTGGAAACTGAGTGCCCAAATGAGCCACAGAGATATTAGAAAGAACTTTTTTAGTGTCAGAGTGGTTGACAAATGGAATGCATTAGGCAGTGATGTGGTGGAGGCTGACTCCATACACAGTTTCAAGTGTAGATATGATAGAGCCCGATAGGCTCAGGAATCTGTACACCTGTTGATTGACGGTTGAGAGGCGGGACCAAAGAGCCAGAGCTCAACCCCCGCAAACACAACTAGGTGAGTACAACTAGGTGAGTACACACAGGGGAGCCGATGACCGAGCGGACAGCACGCTGGGCACGTGATCCTATGGTCCTGGGTTCGATCCCGGGCGCCGGCGAGAAACGATGGGCAGAGTTTCTTTCACCCTATGCCCCTGTTACCTAGCAGTAAATAGGTACCTGGGAGTTAGTCAGCTGTCACGGGCTGCTTCCTGGGGTGTGTGTGTGTGGTGTGGAAAAAAAAATAGTAGTAGTAGTAGAAACAGTTGATTGACGGTTGAGAGGCGGGCCGAAAAAGCAGAGCTCAACCCCCGCAAGCTCAACTAGGTGAACACACACACACACACACACACACACACACACACACACACACACACACACACACACACACACACACACACACACACACACACACACACACACGCACACCAATATGATAGAGCCCAGTTGGCTCAGGAATCTGTACATCAGTTGATTGACAGTTGAGAGGCGGGACCAAAGAGGCAAAGCTCAACCCCCGCAAGCACAATATATATATATATAATATATATATATATATATATATATATATATATATATATATATATACATATATATATATATATATATATATATATATATATATATATATATATATATATATATATATATGCATATTTTATAATATATATAATATGTGGGAAAGTGTAAGGACGTGTGTATCAAAGGGCGAGAGACTGCTAACACGGGTGTGGTCAGCGGGTTAAAAGTTTTGCGTGTATGTGAGCAGAAAGGGAAGCCGAGGTTATGGGAGGGATGGGAGAGGGGAGTGTTGAGGGGAGGTGAAGGGTGAGGCGCGGAGAGTGACGGGGGATGGTGATGGGTTTGGGTAGTGGAAATGGGGATGGCTGGAGTGAGGGGGAGAGCGACTTTGTAGTGTGAGTGGACTATGGCAGACCTTGAAAGTGCCTTACGAAGCTTCTTTGACAGCTCGTCATCTTTGTGGTATTGAGCGTATCAAGACTGGGAGGAGGGGTCCAGCGAGCGGCGGTACCGGAGCACGAGGAGCCTCTACAAGGAGGACAACTGTATATGGGAGGCTCTTGAATCAAGTTATCAAACACAGACGTCTAGAGAGATAACATACAGGTAGACAGAGGCTTCTGGGAATAGGTGTGGTGCAGTTATCCTCGCCATAAAGATGTACAGGTTCGTAAGTGCTTGCGTAACTGCTTCGTGAATCTGGCCCCAGTGTCGTAAGGTGCAGTCATCTTCGCCATCCTTCACAAAAATGTTCAGTAATACACTGGAGACCCGCCAGAATTCTTGAAGGAAGCGAAGGAGGTCCCTAAGATTAAAAAAAAAGGGGATAGACAGTAGGCCCCTGTACTACAGACCAACGTCACTGACAGATATGCCTTGTAAAGTGGCGGCGAAAGTAATCAGGGTGAGATTATTATTATTAACATCTTTATTGACAAAATTAATTACAATTTTTCCTAATCTGAGGATTTTGATAAAGTCTTATTAAAGTGAGGATAATGCTGGTATTCACTGTCACGCAGGACAGAGGGTCATACACAAGACAATAGGTCTAAACTGTAGGCAGAAGCACATATATATCATGGTTACAATCAATGGTTTAATGTATGGATATGTGAAAACAATTTTCTATTGTGCACTGCCACACAAGGGCAGGGTGAGAATAGCGGAGCACCTGGACAGGAGAAACTTTGTAACGCCAGCATTAATTTAGAAGAGGAAAGTTACGTCTGAGAAACTTGATTGAGTTCTATGACAAAGTTTCCCTAATTCGCCAGGAAAATGAAGACTGGGTTTTTTATACCGTTCCACACGACTAGCCGTATTTTTGTATCCGTGTCTGGCTCTGCTGTCCTTCCCTTCAGGGGCCAGCTTCACGAAGCAGTTACGCAACCACTTACGAGCCTGTACATCTTTCCTCAATCTTTGACGGCTTTGGTTACATTTATTAAACAGGTTACAAGCATGAGAACTTCCCAATCAACTGTTGTTATTGTTATAAACAGCTTTCTGGTGCTTCGGAGCTCATTAACTGTTTCATAATTGTACACAAAGCCGTCAAAGATTGAGAAAAGATGCACAGGTTAAGATGCACAGGTTCATAAGTGCTTGCGTAACTGATTCGTGAATCTGGCTCCAGCGTCCCAACACGTTTTTGAACATTGCCTCTTCTCCTACTCCTCCTCCAAGTTTGCAAGAGAGACACATCTCAGGAATCTGTACACCAGTAGATTAACGGTTGAGAGGCGGGACCAGAGAGCCAGAGCTCAACCCCCGCAAGCACAACTAGGTGAGTACAGCTCCCCCGCGTCAACAAAAGCCTCTCGGCAATAATGTCTGAGCAATCCGAAGCCATCTACTGGAGAAAGTTGACTATAGTTGCCTGCGCTAGGCACATATTGCCATGCTGGGAGAGGAAGGTGTGGTGGTGAGTGAGAGTCAGTGATTGTGGTGGTGAGTGATTGTGGTGGTGAGTGATTGTGGTGGTGAGTGAGAGTCAGTGATTGTGGTGGTGAGTGATTGTGGTGGTGAGTGATTGTGGTGGTGAGTGAGAGTCAGTGATTGTGGTGGTGAGTGACTGTGGTGATGGTAAGTAACATCTTGATGATACTTTACACCTAGTAGTCACTCCGGGCAGGGCAGACCAAGCTCCAGGGGCCAGATTCACGAAAGTACTTACGCAAGCACTTACGAACGTGTACATGACGGGAGACATCTCCCGTCACGCAGGGTGCAGTCGCGCCTCCACAGATCTCCAGTATCTTCTATTGATACTGGTAATGGCTCAAAAGGGCCACCACTTACGAGCTATTCATGCCCGTGCTACCTTTTGGGTGGCTTCATCTTCATCTTAACACATTCACAAAGGAGACATCTCCCGTCACGCAGGGTGCATTCGCACCTCCACAGATCTCCAGTATCAGCTTTTGATACTGGTAATGGCTCAAAAGGGCCACCACTTACGGGCTATTCATGCCCGTGCCACCTTTTGGGTGGCTTAATCTTCATCAATCAATCAATCAACGTGTACATCTTTTCTCAATCTTTGGCGGCTTTGTTTACATTTATTAAACAGTTAATGAGCTCCGAAGCACCAGGAGGCTGTTTATAATAATAACAACAGTTGAATGGCAAGTTTTCATGTTTGCAAATTGATTAATAAATGTAAATAAAACCGTCAAAGATTGAGGAAAGGTGTACACGTTCGTAAGTACTTGCGTAACTGCTTCGTGAATCTGGCCCCCTGGTACCCCGTCCAGTAGCCGTGTTGTAGCAGTAGCGATATTCACTACGGCGAGAGATATTTACTTTATGTAAAGATATATTTACTTAATTTACTTTACTATTTGTGCCGCTACTGGAGGCGGTGATGGTGAAGGCTGATGGTGATGGTGAAAAGGCTGGTGATGGTGGTTTAATAAGGTTGTGATGGGGTATTAGTGATCATAATCGTTACGATTGATTGATTGATGAAGATTAAGCCACCCAAGAGGTGGCACGGGTATGAATAGCCCGTAAGATGGTTACGGTGGTGGTGAGGGTAGTAATGACAGCAACAGTAGTGGCCATTGTCTTGAGGTGAGCCAAGAATTACCTGTACAATTAGTGTTACTAGTAAGTACTTGTAAGAAATAGTAATAACAATTTTGGCGGTAATTAAACTGTATTCGCCTATTTATGCTTGCGGGGGTTGAGCTCTGGCTCTTTGGTCCTGCCTCTCAACTGTCAATCAACTGGTGTACAGGTTCCTGAGCCTATTGGGCTCTATCATATCTACATTTGAAACTGTGTATGGAGTCAACCTCCACCACATCACTGCTTAATGCATTCCATCCGTTAACTACTCTGACACTGAAAAAAGTTCTTTCTAACGTCCCTGTGGCTCATGTGGGTACTCAGTTTCCACCTGTGTCCCCTTGTTCGCGTACCACCCGTGCTAAACAGTTTATTCTTATCTATCCTGCCAATTCCCCTGAGGATTTTGTAGGTAGTGATCTTTTGTGTGTGTGTGAGCGACCCTCAATAATCTTTAATACAACAATAGCTTGAAAACAGAAAATGTAGTACGTAGGCCTATTTCTATAAGAACAGCATGCAGAAGACACTTAGCTACAGATGAGTGCCACTTACAAGACTCCACACAGACTAATATACGATATTGGAACACAAAGGAAGGCATAAAGAAACCATCCTACAACATGAGTTTAGCTGAAGGAAGTTCTTCCTGCAACTGGCTATGTTGTGATGGTTACATCTGTCTAGTGACAGTAAACGTTTGAAAGTGAGGGTGTACCTGTCAACCCGGAGGCAGAGAGTCAGTATGAAACGGAAGAAGTTCAATCCCCGACCGCCCAAGGGGTTGGGCACCATTCCTTTCCCCGTCCCATCCCAGAACCCTATCCTAGCCCTTCCCAGTGATATATAGACGTAATGGCTTGGCGCTTTTCATTGATAATCACCTCGCCTCTCCCATGAATATATTACTGACTATAACATAGGAAGTATACTCCCACATGTCGATATTCGAGGATGGTACTATAAGGGGCATGTGTGAAGTATCTGAAAGATGGCTACTCGACTTCAACCCTGTAAATGTAAGGTGATGGGAATGTGGAGACCGAAAGCTCCTGAAATTGATAAAGGCAAAGGGTTTAACAGTAGACATAATAAACATGACTCCAGAAATGCGTACCAACAAGATCCCATCAACGACGTAGGCACAATTAACTGCCATCCTCTTAGCTCTGAGACATTTTGACAAGGAAATCAGGTTGCTAAACACTGCCCATGGGGGTCCCAACACACAGCCCCCCATGGCGGTCCCAACACACAAGAACTCAAAAGAATGCTTCCAGAATTTAGAGAACTTCCACCACCGCCCTCGGGATTGGTATCGGGTGTATAATAAATGACTAACTGTAGTAGGAGGAAAAGTGTAATAGCTGGATCTTACCACATAAGAGACGGGCCGTGGCTGGCGGTGGCGGCTGGCGGCGGCGGCTGGCGGCAGCGGCTGGCGGCGGCGGCAGGCGGCGGCGGCAACATGAACCAATTGTCCAGCCAAAGAGGGAAAACATTGAAGAGAACCCGGCAACAGCGGGCGTCCAGTAACTGTGTAACTCCCTTAACTTCCGTGTTGTTCCTTCTGCGTTCTTTGCCGTGTTCCCTCTCCTTCCTTCTCTTGGTGCTGGGCTTTACCCCAGGCAGCGAGCGCTCCCTGACCACGTGGCCCGCACAGCGATAAGACTTATCAGGGCTCCATCACACTGACAAGTGACAGAGCAATTACTGAGTGTAGGGACTGTGCGACAACGGCGGTAACTCATCCATCACTGTAGCTTCCCTCGAGGGGATGCGTGGGGTGAGGGGGAGTGTGGGGTGAACAGTGAGGGGGAGTGTGGGGTGAACAGTGAGGGAGGTGTGGGGTGAGGGGAGTGTGGGGTGAACAGTGAGGGGTAGTGTGGGGTGAACAGTGAGGGGTAGTGTGGGGTGAGGGGTAGTGTGGGGTGAACACTGAGGGAGGTGTGGGGTGAGGGGAGTGTGGGGTGAACAGTGAGGGGTAGTGTGGGGTGAGGGGGAGTGTGGGGTGAACACTGAGGGAGGTGTGGGGTGAGGGGAATATGGAGTGATCAGATGCCGAAGTTTTCCAGAAACCGCGAATATCATGGTGATCGAGATATTGAAATTGAAATATGTTTATTAAGGATTAAACACACACAAAGGGATGAGGTAGCTCAAGCTCACCCCGTTCAGTACAATGTTTTCATATATATATATACAGTCAGACATCACAAAAGTATACTACCGAACATTCTGAGTGATAAACATATACATTTGTTCCTGGTGAGGTATAGTAGTGTTCGGGAGAGTGAGGGACACATGAGGTGTGAGGATGTGAGTAGGAGTCATGAGTGTGAGTGAGGGTGGTAGTGTGAGTAATGACGGCAGGGTGCTGGCTTAGTTGTGTCAGCTACCCTAACTCGCTGTGTTAACATCGGAAGGCTTATTGGCCCATACGATTGATTGATTGATTGATTGATAAAAATTAAGCTACCCCCAAAAGGTGGCACGGGCATGAATAGCCCGTAAGGCCCATATGATGATGAAGATTAAACCACCCAAAAGGTGGCACGGGCATGAATAGCCCGTAAGTGGTGGCCCTTTTGAGCCATTACCAGTATCAATAGCTGATACTGGAGATCTGTGGAGGTGCGACTGCACCCTGCGTGACGGGAGATGTCTCCCGATGAAGGCCCATACGAGGCAGCTCCTATTTATATCCACCCATGTTCTAAAACATTTTCCTACACCTGTACTTCTCCATCTTCTTTACTAAAGAAAGTGGGGAGGAGAGGAAACTATCAGGAGAAAGCCATTACGACTATATAGCACATGGAAGGGGTTAGGATAAGGATTTGGGATGGGACAGGGGGGGGGAAGGAATGGTGCCCAACCACTTGCTTGGTCGGGGATTGAACGCCGACCTGCATGAAGAGAAACCGTCGCTCTACCGTAAAGCCCAAGTGGTTGGTGGAAAGTTTGGATGAAGCGAGTTCGTCCTGAACCAATCACAATCGACTTGAGAATGGTCCAGGACGGAGCGAAACGTCGTCGTCCCTTCACCTTCTAGTGTGTGGTCTGGTCAACATATTTGGGTACTGTAAGTGTACTAGGAACAAGGTAGCCTCAATGTTTACATTTTGCGATCTCATATCTCATCCCCCTCGCTCTGAGCCTCGTCCCCCCCCCCCCCCACAGGGGACGTGATGGACAGTCACTGCTGAAGGTTGACGAACGCAACTCACTTCTCAGTGAGTTGTAGGAGGCGTTTAGTTAGTTTAGTTCATTTATTATGCACCCCATACCCATCTTGTGGGCGGTAGTGGAAAGGGGTTACAGAGGCACATAATGGGCTCAGGGACTGAACCCGACAATTCATTTAGCTAAGCAAGTTACAATGTATAAGTCCGTCACATCAACAATGGTTTCGAGATCGACCACAAGTACAGTTTGTAAATTAAGCAACTGACGTATGTGGAGAGTTAGTGTCACAATTGATATGTTTGTAGTAACTCATTAGTGCTACAGCCAAGAGTTTCTTAGGTAAAATACTTGACAATTCGCAAGTAGTGTAGCACCGTGAGGCTTCACAGCTACCAGTCTTTACACTGCACGCGCAGAATTTACCGATCTAGCAGCTGTAAAACCAGCCGATGTGAGCACTCATTCCTCACCCCACCACCGGCCACTCATTCCTTCTTTCTTGAAATGGGTGTTGGCGTGCAAGATTGCCGTGAAATATCCTAAATGTCGAGGATTGCACTATCTCCTCCGTGTCTTATAAACAGGTATACAAGAGTATGCTGAGTATAGCTCAATTTAGTGCTGTTATGTGCAGGAATTAGTATATCGGGTCCCAAGCCGGCGTCTTGTCAGAGGAAGCAACACAAGTAATCCGCTAGTTATCAATCTGGGTAATTTCAGAGACTTTCATGTTAAATCACGAACGGTTACTGTGGGAGGTGGCGGCTGGCGGTGTTAAATGAGCCAATTTGCGTGTTTGGAATAGTTGGTGTGATGGGAGTGATACTGCGTGTTTTTGTCATGTTTGGAATAGTTGATGTGTGTGGGGGGGGGGAGGGGTGTTTTTGTTGCTGGTGGCTCCGTGCTTCTCTTTATTACCGCGCAAGCTGAAGCAATCACTGTTCTCGTTTTATTACTTGTGTAATTTATTTTTGTCATGTGTGTGTAAAGCGCTGTCATTGAGGGCAACTTGACTACCGCATTGTAACCAGTCTAAGACGTTATGGTGTCCTTGTACACGCTACCTCACGCTGCTCTGTGTCACACACAGCACGCTGCCTCACGCTGCTCTGTCACACACAGAGCACGCTACCTCACGCTGCTCTGTCACACACAGAGCACGCTCCCTCACGCTGCTCTGTCACACACAGAGCACGCTGCCTCACGCTGCTCTGTCACACACAGAACACGCTGCCTCACGCTACTGTGTCACACACAGAACACGCTGCCTCACGCTACTGTGTCACACACAGAGCACGCTACCTCACACTGCTCTGTCACACACAGAACACGCTGCCTCACGCTACTGTGTCACACACAGAACACGCTCCCTCACGCTGCTCTGTCACACACAGAGCACGCTGCCTCACGCTACTGTGTCACACACACAGCACGCTCCCTCACGCTGCTCTGTCACACACAGAACACGCTGCCTCACGCTACTGTGTCACACACACAGCACGCTCCCTCACGCTACTGTGTCACACACACAGCACGCTCCCTCACGCTGCTCTGTGTCACACACACAGCACGCTCCCTCACGCTACTGTGTCACACACACAGCACGCTCCCTCACGCTACTGTCACACACACAGCACGCTCCCTCACGCTGCTCTGTCACACACAGAACACGCTGCCTCACGCTACTGTGTCACACACAGAACACGCTGCCTCACGCTACTGTGTCACACACAGAACACGCTACCTCACACTGCTCTGTCACACACAGAACACGCTGCCTCACGCTACTGTGTCACACACAGAACACGCTCCCTCACGCTGCTCTGTCACACACAGAGCACGCTGCCTCACGCTACTGTGTCACACACACAGCACGCTCCCTCACGCTGCTCTGTCACACACAGAACACGCTGCCTCACGCTACTGTGTCACACACACAGCACGCTCCCTCACGCTACTGTGTCACACACACAGCACGCTCCCTCACGCTGCTCTGTGTCACACACACAGCACGCTCCCTCACGCTACTGTGTCACACACACAGCACGCTCCCTCACGCTACTGTGTCACACACACAGCACGCTCCCTCACGCTGCTCTGTCACACACAGAACACGCTGCCTCACGCTACTGTGTCACACACAGAACACGCTGCCTCACGCTACTGTGTCACACACAGAACACGCTGCCTCACGCTACTGTGTCACACACAGAACACGCTGCCTCACGCTACTGTGTCACACACAGAACACGCTGCCTCACGCTACTGTGTCACACACACAGCACGCTCCCTCACGCTGCTCTGTGTCACACACAGAGCACGCTGCCTCACGCTACTGTGTCACACACACAGCACGCTCCCTCACGCTACTGTGTCACACACACAGCACGCTCCCTCACGCTGCTCTGTGTCACACACAGCACTTTGAGCACAGCGTATGCTGGCCCAGCAGCAGGCATCAGCAGGTGATAACAGAACTGGCAGCAGGCATCAGCAGGTGATAACACAGCTGGCAGCAGGCATCAGCAGATGATAACACAGATAACAGTGTATTCTTAACTGCCAATAATAATTCCTTCAAGATTAACAAGCTCTCCTTAAGGAGCTGCCTCGCAGGAGTCAGTGGGGCGTCTGCTGTTAACTTTTGGTTGTGTTCAGCTGCGACCTCCATCCTTGCTAGCATGGAGGGAGGGAGGGAGGGAGGGAAGGAGGGATGGAGAGAGGGAAGGAGGGAGGAAGGGATGGGATTAGGGAAGAGGGAGATGGGACAGGAGCTTATGAGAGGAGGGAGACGTATTTGTAGGAGGAATGGAATGAAGGAAATAGTGAGGGAGGGAGCGAATGAAGGAAATAGTGATGGAGGAAGGGTCGAGAGGGTGAAGGAAGGGAGGGAGCTCTGCGATACCACGACAATTATGTTCAGTGCTCTGTTAGAGAGCTCGTTAATTTTAAGTATGGCGTAAACAGAGCCGCTTATTGAACGAGGTGGGGGAGGTGTTGCTGTGCAGCCATGCACCATTGCACGCTCCTCGCCGGAAATGAGAGGGCGGGGGTAGAAGATGAAAGGGGGAAGATAGAGCAATGCTTCTATACGACTATCGCTGTGTTCGCCTATATGGGGCAAAGAGCGGACCACCTATACTCTGTGCAACCCATCCTCCGAATTGACAGTACGTTTTAATACTAAGTGTAATAAGTACATTTTCTGACTCATACATAGTGCAAATTTGCACTTGCCTCGTTAGTATTTCCCCAACTTTGATTACTTTGATTTGATTGGT